GAATTCACCAAGAAATCACAAGTCTGTGCAGTAGTAGAGCACAAATTTGGTAAACTCTCCAGGTTCTTTTGCCTTAAGCTTTTTAGGGCTAGGGACAGACATTCAAAAAGCCTGAATTGATTCAATCTTTGCAGGTCAGTCTAGTCTGACTAGGCTGAATCAGTTTCTAACCCAGACAGACATCCCAGAAATGCAAGGACATTCCTGAAGTGGTTCAGGCTAGAAGCCGGGGGGCACTAGAGCAGCCCTCCCTTTACTTCTACAGGGCAGAGCTGAGGTGGGTGTGGCCTGGCCACAGCAGGACGCTCTGATTATTCCTCCCTCTTTTGAGCTGCCCAGCAGGGAATGTTTATCACCCCTAACTAAGTATTTATTAACTCATTAAGAAAACAAAGCCTCTCTCCATTAACTAATGGACCTCTTCTTAAACTGCTCTTCCAAGGAAGGACATTAAATACCTGTTAATTACCTCTAAAATGCAGGTCTGCCTCTGTCCTCTCTCACAGCCCAGACTTCAGCCAGCACATGGTCTGCTAGCTAATGCTGAGGTGTCTGTGTAAGGCAGAGGGGAGTGGGGAATAATCCCTACTTAGCAGGGAGAAGCCAGACAGATGCTTTGTGCCTGAAAGTCTGTGCCGAGCTCCAGCCAGGGAGCAAAGGAGAGGGGCCAGCCCTGCTGTGGAGCCAAGAGTCCTGCCCAGCCCAGAGAGCATGCCGAGATGCTGGTGGTGTCCGGGTTATCTTAAGCCAGCAAGGGGTCTGGGCCAGACACTGCATGAACCATATCAGTTAAGTCTGATACTACATTTAACCAAGCTTATCTCAAACTGGTTTTAGCCACTTTAAAATGGGTTTATGTGCACTGAACATCTGTTCTGTTACAGGTTTAAACCAGTTTCTGATCACTTAATCCAGTTTATGTGTAATATCTGTCCCTAGCCCAGATGTAATTCTTCACATGCCTTATTAAATTTCATTTTTCTGTTTCATGTTGCACTTTTTCATCCTTTTGCTTCCTTAGCACAATGAAAGTGAGTTCAATAATGTAATAAGAAGCTCAAAAATTTGGACCATAGATTTTTAAATGTACCATGTGTCAGGTTAAGCATAATATACTTTTGTCTGTCTAGACCAGGGATCAACAACTTAGGGCCTGCAGACTGCATCCAGCCTGCAAAGAGATCCAGTCTGGCACGGGGAATCAGTGGCATGGAGCTACGCCATGCTGTGTTCCCTCTGTTGCACCATGCTTTGTGCACTTGTCTTGCTGCAGAGGGACTGGGAATCAGCAGCAAGAATGAGTGAAGACAGCTGGCTGCTTGGGGGAGGGGGGCAGAGGTATCTAGGTCACAGCCACAACTGGGTTGCAGGCTCCAGCCTATACTGACTAAGGCTGCCAAACCCTGCTCTTGACTGTTGAAAGCTCGGTTCCAAGAGCAGTTTTATTAATGTCATATAAGGAAGTTACATCCTTTTAAGATTCCCAGCTATATCACTCTTTATATGTAGTCATGGGAAAATTTAACAGCTGCATAAAAGCACAATAGCTGATTTTCCAACATACATAATGAAGCAAGGTTTTTGCCATTTTGTCAAAGAATTTGCAACATGATTTTTGTTTTTTCTTTAAGGTATGTTGAGGTCTTTTTTTGGCTCTACTTGCACTCATCCAATTTGCATTGGTACTAATGGAAGTTATTGAGACATTATTTAAAAGTAACTGTGCATTTAGAAATGTTTCCCCGCCCACTTCCCCCACAATGTACAGCATATCTCCAAACAAGGGATATATAAAACAAAAGCTAAAAAATGTTTAAATTTGCCCCCTGAATGTGTTGCTTTCATTATTTTTCTGATTGCTACTTTTCCTTTGCTTATTGACATTTTCTGTTGCTTGCTTCTAATTATCTTATATTAATTTTTCCCTTTTGCTTTCTAAATTATTTTACAGCTATTCCTCTCCACTTCCCCAGTATGATTCAAGGTGATAACTATGTCCTTTTTGTGAATCCTCATTTTGTTTTCTTTATGTTAACTCTTTTTCCACAGTCAGACTGTGTGTAGATGTTTGTAGTACATCCACATCTATCCTCATCCCTTTCTGTAATTAAAGTAGAATGTTTGTTGTTTAGCTTTTAGATTTGTGTTTTAGAGATCATACTGTAGCTTCTATTATTAGCCAGGCATTAATTTACTTAAACATCAGCTACTAATCCTTTTGATAGAAACTGTGCATGAAGTATTGTTTAAAAATATCCACATTATGTTTTTAAAATGGAAAGTTGCTCCTTTTGAAAATGAAATGAGTAAATAACAAATATGTTGTTGGTAATAATGATATTTTCTTGTATTTGATAATGTTTTTAAAGATCAGTCTCTGTTTAAGAGGATGTCCAGAAAACTGACTGCCAAGAAGCAAAGTAAATTAGCCTGTGCTGAGCTCTGTGCTACTGTGGCTAGTTTTCTTTTGGTACCTAAGGTAGCTCACTTCAGGCTAGTTCAGGATTCCCTACACAGTACTACAGACTGCAGTGTAGACACAGAACTTAAGGCTAGATTCTTAAAGATCATTAGGCATTTGACTCCATCAGTTAAAACTAAAATGGTTTGAACTATTGACCTTTAAAAATACCTTTAAAATATGGCTACTGATATTTTGGTATTTGCTCATATTCTGCACTCTTTCTGACTGCCTGGGATTGTCACTTATTCCCTGTTTAGGTGTAGCATATTAATCCAGTGACCAAAGGAAGGAGAAAAGCAAATTTCAACATCTGTTAGCAAAAAAGATACTCTCTTATTGACTTTAAATCACAAATTCAGCTAAGTTCATAGCCAATACATTTCCTAGTCTATAGTCTAGAGTTCTAGTTTAGTTGTAATTTTTCTTCAATAGCATTAAATATGGGAGGTACAAAAAGAATAAAGACCAATTTAAAGACAAGATATAGAATCTTATTTATTTATGTGATTGTAATAATCAAATACTAGAGAATCAAAAAATAGAAATGTATTAACAGATACTAAAATTTATTTTTGTGCATTCAAGTATACAGATTTTGGTAAAAGAGTTCCTCACCTAAATACAGTAGAAGTACGATATATATATAAGTGGTTAATATTAAGGATTATTTTAATAGTTTAAAATTTTAATTATTATTCCTATATTCTAATAAATTATTATCCCAGTATTATAAGATTTTGGAGGAATTTTTAATGACCTGCAGATCTAATATTTGGTCAAGTATTCTTATGAGAACTGTGCCCTCCCAGTGAACTTTTGGAAAGACCTTCCATGAATTATTTGCCAAGGTGCTCCATAACTTGTTACTGTTATTTATGATATTTTGCCAGTAATCAAAATAAAATATCAGTATGATGTGAATATTGTCACTTTTAGCTCCTGATGAACTGTGTGGGCTTTTCCAGGGTAATACAGAAGGTTCTAGCCTTTATGTGAACTAAATTTGTGACTCTTCTTCTTAGGAAAAAGGTGAACTATAAAACTGAATGGATTCTTCTGTTAAGCATCAGCAGGGCATGCAGGACGCAGGGGCAGCAATGACTTCAGTTTGCTGCCAAGATCTCAATTGCAGTTGCAATTGCAATTGCATGGATGCCGCTTTTTTCACCCCCTCCTACAAGTTGGCACCTGGGGCAGTTGCTCTGTTCACCTGGCCCTAGTTATGCCACTGTTAAGGATTAAAATACTTAAGTGTAGGAACTACTGGCAGTAGCATAGACAAGATGGGAGCTATGTAATGGAATTAACAGCTACTCCATTTTTTGCAGGTCATTCACCAGGAATAAATAAGAGATATTTGTGCAACTATTTTATTTCTAAGCCGTAAACCAAACACTTAAATCCATTTTGCCTATTCTATTTGAAAACAAAGAGGTAACCAAAAATTGCAATACGTTTATGTTGCATTATGTTTTAGCACTTATGGTATGGAGACATAGGATGGTATTTCAGAGTCAGTGAGGAAAAACACAATTTCTATTCATTTCTAATATAAAATGAGTAATCAAATCCTTTAGATAACATTGAATGTCCATTGGCTACTGTGAGATTAGCTTCTATTTTTTTACTATTGTTTTATCATCTTTGTCAAGGGTATGTAGATTTTTAGGCAGATGTGTTTTTTGAATTTGCAGTAGATTGTAAGTAATTTATTAAACTGTGTATTTAATTAGAGTTTCCTTTTAAATATAACATGTACAGTTTTAAAATGATGTTATTGCAAACTAGTTTTCTTTTAATTATTCAAAAAGATACAGAAACTGGGAAAAACTCTTTAGAAATCCAAGACACTGGGGGAAAAGGTCATAATATTCCTTCTAGGTTAATTTGTTTTCTAACAGCCATCCATATTGATATGATGTGGTAAAATAATTGATTTAAGCAGGGTTAAGTCTACAGAAAATAACGTGTTTAATATTCTAATTCATGCATATTTACCAAAACCATGTAATAATTATGCTCATCATATGCAGCATTTATTCTGCAAGCTTGTTAAGTCTCCTTGAAAATGGGTATATGATATCCTTTAGAAGGAATGAGATCCAGATATTAAAACATGAAGGTGTGTTTTCCTTATAGTATGGAAAACTGGTTTTTTGTGCATATAGAATTCATTATTTTACATTATAGAACATAGCAGAACATTTTTAAGTTCACTAAAAGACACTAATAACTTAAATATGCTTACTCTTTAACCTTAAATATTCAGTAGTACATGGATTTTTCACAATTATTTTACTAAACCAATAGGATTTTTTTGTTTGTTTATTATTTAAAATTTAAGTATAAATTTAAGGAAGAAACCTGGTAAAAATTACATTCAGAATTTAGCTGGAAGAGAGTGTGTTTTGCTTTAAGGATAGTGTTACTTGTTGCTTTCTTCATAATTGTTGATTTCACTACACTTTCTACTGAGTTAAATGATGCTTTCTTGATTTTTTTGACCATTTTAATGACAATCGCCTTTTCTCTACAGTTTTCTGGTTAGTTTTATGGTTGATGCACGTGGGGGTTCAATGAGGGGTAGTCGCCATCATGGAATGAGAATTATTATTCCACCGCGCAAATGTACAGCACCCACCCGCATCACCTGTCGATTGGTAAAGAGACATAAACTGGCCAGCCCACCACCAATGGTTGAAGGAGAAGGATTAGCCAGTAGACTAGTAGAAATGGGGCCTGCAGGTGCCCAATTTTTAGGGTGAGTTATTCTATGAATTTCATTGTTGATATTCATGTTACATCTTTCATTTCCTTTACCTTGAGGATCTGAGTAGCTACTTATTGGATCTACTTAACTTGATCATTTAAGGTAGGCCTCCAATTCTTACACTGCAGATGAGACTTGATCCTACTATTCATAACCAGGAAAAGTGCTCTTTGACTTGGATGAAATTTTGCTGTTGTGATGATGGAAGCATTAGGCCAAAAGGCCAAATTTTGCCCTTGGCTTATCATAAATAACACCCTTTGAAGTCAAATGTAGTTATGTCAGTGTGTGTGTGTATAAATATATCTCCAAGGACAGGATTTGGCTCTCAGGCTGAATAGAAGTCCTGACGAATATCACTCATAAGGAAGCTTGCTGAAATCATCCACCAGTTTCCAAATGTAGGGCTGTGTTTTCCACTTGACGTGTGTATGACTCCTGCCTATTTTAATGGAAGATGCCCACCAATGTGATTTCAGAGCACTTAATATAGAGCATCATTTCCTACAGATGCTAGGATCTGACTTTTTTAAAGTTTAAATTAAGGGAAACAACCCACTATGATGTGGTATTTTTTTAATTATAAATTTTGTTCATTACCATTAAATGGCACCCTGGTGAAAACTGCTGGTTCTGTCAGGAATGACAGCTTGTTCCTAATATCCCCTTCTTGTTTCTCTTCCTGCTGCATGGATGTTATTCAGTAAACTGCATCTTCCTACCAATCCTCCCCCTCTAAATGAGGGTGAGAGCTTGGTTAGCCGAATCCTGCAGCTTGGGCCTCAAGGAACAAAATTTATTGGGTAGGATATTTACAGAAAAGATACAGAATGTCTCCAAGTTTTTGTTTGTTTCCAAGTTTTGTCATTCCCATAATCTTTTTCAGTTTCCTTAAGCTTTCAGTTGATTTATGTCACTGAAAGAATATCATAGTGGCTTGACTTACTATAGCTCTGCTACTGTAACTATCTTTTGCTTCTAGGCATGTGAAATTCACTGCAAGCATTCTGTTTTCATAACTTCTGTGCTTTCGTAATTTTTTAAATTTCAAGTGTTTCAACTGCATCAATTACATTTTAATATAGAGTGACAGTCCTTTAATTTCAACTTTTGTGGTAGAGAAGGTATTTACAGGCTCTGACGTGATCAACTTCAGGAATAGCATTATCGTATGTGGTTTTACATAGTGTCCCTATGTGTAACAATGGGCTGGGCTAGAAAAATAAATCACTAAATAAATAATATTTAATAACTGTGGAGAAATCTTAACCATTTAAGCTGCAGTAGACATGAGTAAAATTAAATATCAAACATAAAATTTGGTGCATTTTGAAAAACGTAAAATACTCAAAGAGGTTGCAATATTTATCCAGAAAGTGGCAGTAAATGTTCTCATCTTTTGAGTCTCCCGTGAAACTTTCTTATGAAATTTAGTTTCTTAAGTTTTCTAAAATACTAGAGTTAGTATTCAGTGTTCGATACCTGTTTAATACCTTCTCACTGACTACTCCTATTAATCTTCATGTACAAAATTGTGTGGTTCCTAAATATTTACAGAGACAGTATCTGATACATTAACCTGCAAAGATTGTATTAAAATGTTAGTTTTGGTAAGATTGTATTTTTTAACTTGAGATATGCCCATGAAAATAACCAACTTAGGCAACAGTGTTTTGAATTTTTTATATACTCCCACCATACATTGTGGGATATATACCATATGTATCACCAGTCAAAAGACTAAGATGAGAATAACAGAATTCTAGAATTTATACAGCTTCTAAAGAGATTTATTAAATATTCTCCCTTTTACTGTATTTATGAAAATTAGCATTGTCTAATTCCAGTTGCCTTGGTTTTTAGTGTAAACAGGTTCATTTAAAAATATTTTGTATATTAACAAGGGCTGCTTCTGTGACTAACATAATAAAATGACTGACTGATGGTTGCACAGTCCTTTATATTATTATTTTTCCCATCTTCTGATGTTACCTTTAACTGAGCTGCTGTATAGAGGTGACATTCTAATTTACAACCTCTGTAGGAAAATAATGATACTGTCTATTTAAATGTCTTAAAGCTGCATAATCCATAATTATTTACCTATTTAACGGTTTCGGTCAATTTGCTTTAGCACATTTTAGAATGCTTATGTTGTCTGTAAGATGTTCAGTAAAAATATTGTCTTGTTGAGTAGTGGCACTTGAAAAAAACAGCAGTTTCTTTTGATTATTCAGTTATCATTTAATTACTCACTTGAAGTCCTATGTATAAGATGTACTGTCAGGTCATTCAGTTGTATTGTTTTATTCTCCTACCCTTAAAAACAGCTTTAAAATAGCTACTACCAATGTATTTATGCTGTTGTTTAAACTGAAAGAAAACAATTTTGAGAGCATTTAACCATTTCCTAGCAGTTTTTATGACACAGCTGTTACTAACTTGCATTCATGTATGAGAACCAGAAACTGAAATTGGCTGGTAGCAAACCATCTAGTTTATTAGCTTGAATGTACAGAGAATGCAAAGGAACTGATGAATAATTTACTGGATTTTTCAAATTTTAAGAAACAGTAATATTGGGATTTGGAAATTTTTTTTTCCCCTTCATTTTTCTCTGTGAATATGTTAGACCCAGCCCTACGGCATGTGTACACCCACACCCACACACACC